CTTTCCTGTTGTAGTCCATCACAGAAGGAAGGCAGGACATGAACTCAAACAGGGCAGGAACTTGGAATCAGGAATTGATGCAGAGTCCGTGGAGAGGAGCTGCTACTGTGAGTGTTACTAATACCTTGGTTAAACTGTTGCTAAGTAAGCATTGACGGTTTGACGGTTCACACAGCCTCAGGAGAATTTTAAGTTAGAACTGAGCAAACCCCCATTATGTAGCAGTCCTTAGGTAGGAACTAACACAACTTCAAATGCACCCTTTCCCCTGCTGCTCTGGCTTTGCCCTTTGAGGTACCTTAAACTTTCCAAAGGAAATGTTGCATGAACCCTATTGCCTGCATTAATCACACTCAGTCCAGATTCAGTGACAGTCGACTTGAGCTCATGTAGAAAATGGCCTGGAGCATGGCATTGTGTCATGTCTGCTGTCCCAGCACTTGGGAGGTCAAGGCAGGAGGTGGCATTCAAACCAGCCTACACTATCTGAGACCTTGTCACACACAAAAAGGAATGCCTCATTCCCAGTTGGTGGAACTGCTTGGGAAGGATGAGGGGGTGGTCTCATTGGAGGAGATGTTACTGGGGGTTTCCAAAGTCCGTTCCATTCCCAGTTAGCTCTCTGCCTAGTGCCTTTGGATTAGGATGTAAGCTCACAGCTGATGCTACTGAGCCATGCTTGCCTGCCTGCTGCCATCCTCGTTACCATGGTGAGCAAATTGCCTGTTCTGTGAGTACGAGTCACCTGTACCGTATCCCAACGTTCACTTTTAGAAGAGGCTGAGGAGGTGGCTCTTGCACGGCTCCTTTCTCAGCAACCATGTCTGATCATTTGTATCACCAGCTCCAGGGAATCTGGTGCCCTCTTCTGGTCCCTGTGGGCACTGCATGCATGTGTACAAACTTGCTTAAAAACTAAACTTTTCTTTAAATTTTACATTTGTGAAATAAATAGTCTATTCATTATGTAGGTTAAGCAGTAGGGGAAAGTATGGACTGATGGGGAGGCAGGCAAGGATATTTAATGTAAGTCTTACATAATGCAAGAGGCTTCAGAAGTACATGACGACCTGAAGAAACAAGTGGGCCTAAGTACCTAAGTATCTTCCTAGAGTGGAAAAATGAAGTATGGTCCAGCTGCTCTAGACAGAGGAGGCTCCACAACCTGCTCAGGCTCTTCTCTGTGACAGTTTGCCTTCCAAAGATAAACATGCTCTTTTCCGCCAGGTGCAAGTAGGGTGCCTCTCAGATAACCTGCTTCGGAGGAAGACCAGAAAGCCCAAGCCATTTTAGTCAGTTTTCTGAGATAGGAAAGGGTGGATATCTTCCTCCTTCTCTAGTTTCCCCGAATTCTTTCAAATGCCTGAACATTCCTGCTTTAAAATGTAGCAGGGGAGGTTGGGGACAGATAGGTAATAAAGCCATGAACCCCAGGGAAAGAAAGCAGGGGGGGGGTAATGGGGGCAGATGGACATTCAGTTTCTATATCTCATTGTCTGCCTTAAGTTTCTCTTTCTCGGCTAACACCAAAAAAGAGAGGAGGGCTCCACTGACGGGTGACAGAGCTGAGTGGACCCAGGTCTTCAGGCTTGTACCACAAACTCTTTACCCAAGGACAGGATTTCTATTCTTCCCCAGGCAGAATTAGCATTGACCCATGAATTTTAACTGCTAAATTACTAATGGTGTCTCTAGAGGTTTTTATTGGATAGTACTCCAATGACATGTTAGAGCCAATGAAATAGATCACATGGTTTCTGAGGATGGCTACTCTTTAGGAAGAATCTTGAATTAAAGGAGCTGTTTGAGCTGATGGCTTCTGGGAAAGGGACAGGCACTTGTCTTTAGGAATGTAGCTACTCGTAGGTTCCCCATTCCCCAGTGGGTGACCCCATACCCTATGAATACGGGTGGCACTAATGGGGCTCAGTGAGCTAAAATAAATAGAACATGAAGTTAGGAGGGAGATGTAATGGGTGGGTGGTGTCCTGAGGGACATTGGAAGCTGGAATGAGGAGTGGATATGATCAAGAGACACTGTAAGCATGTATGACATTTTCAAAGAATGAATATAATTAGAAAAAAATTTCAACATATTTAATGATCTTTGTAATTATACCATTGATAGTTTATTAGGACACATTAGCTTATATCTTTGCAATAGATATAAGCTAAAGATTCATAGAAACCTTTGAGGCAGGAGGATCAGAGATGGCTGAAAGAAATGGTTAGCTGTGCCTGTTTACTTAGAAGCAGATGTCATAGTGTAGCATTAGATGGCAAAAGGCATCTCATTTTAGAAACTGGCTCAGGATGGATTTAAATAATTCACAGTTTAATGAAACATGAATCCGAGGAGCCTGCAGCGAGTGACCTGGGAATTCTATGGCTTGCATCTTTCCTTTTTGTTTTTACTCGAATGCTAACTTCAGCTCCACACGTACCTTATTTCAGAATTCTACATTCTGTCCAGTGGTGCTCGTGCCTCTACCCCAGGAAATCTTACCTCTGCCCGCTCAATTTCTCTTAAACCTCTTTTCTTTCTTGACCCTTTCCTATCAGGTTATGAGTAAGTTCTGTCATTTCACAAAATCTATCCAGATCACAGTAAAACTTTGTCAATCAACGTCCAACAAGCAGTATCTAGGCCAAGCGCGATGATACATGCCTTTGATCCTAGCACTTGGGAAACAAAGGTCTGTGAATTTCTCTGAATTGGAAGATAGCCTGGGCTACATAGAAAGTTCTAGGCCAGTCAGGGCTACATGGTGAAACTGCCTCAGAAAAAAAAACAAAAAGCAAAACCAAAACAACTCCAATCAATATTTAAATTAAAAAACCATTGTTTTTACTAATTGTTTAGTATATAAGATATATCATAAAAAGTAGAAAATATATTTACACAAACAACTTAAAAATAGTGTATGCACCCATTAATTACTTATCTTGAGAAATAGAACACTGGGATAACATAGAAACCCTCTTTATGTTCCTACCCAATTGCTTCCATTTTCTTTCCCCCAAAGATAAACAATATGTTTGTATTAATCAGTAGTGTTTTAAAGCTAGATCATCCACACATGTATCTCTAAATATATTCAGGAAAAAAAAGCATAACTGTATAGCAAGCACCAATCTTAACTATATAAGAAAGGCTGATGTTACCACTAACATTCAGAGAAAACATCACCTATCAGTGCTTGTGGGCTTGATTTGACTTCAGTGGCTTGAGGGTGTCTTTCCAAGAAAATCAGTGTGCAGGGCCTGAGGTTGTCCTGGAAGGCACAAGGCCCTGGTAAGTGGAGCAACTGACCAAAACATGCATATTTGGCAAAAATATGGCCAGAGAATGGGTTGCCTGGTGTTTCTGCTTCTAAGCCTCCTGCAGCTACCTCTGCTTTCAGGAGCAATTGGGAAGCAATCTGTGGGGTGAAGCAGACCATGAGGGACATAGAAACGAAAGGACCCCGTCCTGGCTCATGTGAGGATTCTGTCCTCTGTAAAAGGATGGGAGAAGTCAGCAGGATCGGAGAGAAGATCTGCTCATCTGGATTCTTTCCTGGGTGGCCCGCTCCCATCTGAACTGGTCACCTTCCATGGCATTCTGGAGACTGGCTTCAGCTCCTCCTGGCACTCTCTCCATCACTCTGCTGCTGTTTTCCATTGCTTGTGTTCCACGTTTTATTTTCATTTGTTTCTCAATAAGCAGTTTCTCCAATGCTTTATTTCTCCAGGAGGGTACACAGTGGTTTTAAGGAGACAGTGTCCATATGAAAAGGACAGTTTGCTAGGAGCCCGGCGAGAACGCATGACCAGGAATACACTCTTGTCTCCAGTTTCAGAGGCATGACCAGGAATACACTCTTGTCTCCAGTTTCAGAGGCATGACCAGGAATACACTCTTGCCTCCAGTTTCAGAGGCATGACCAGGAATACACTCTTGTCTCCAGTTTCAGAGGCATGACCAGGAATACACTCTTGTCTCCAGTTTCAGAGGCATAACCAGGAATACACTCTTGTCTCCAGTTTCAGAGGCATGTTAATGGAGCTGTTTCTCGGGCTTTAGAGCAGTCTGGTGCAAGTCAGCCGGGCTTTCCCAGCTCAGTCTGGGGCTTGCCTTTCTCAGTTACCGTGGCTACTCGTTTCATTGCTTCACAGCTTGCAAAATTCCCTTGCTTTACCCTTTCTAGTCCTTTCTGTCTGTGTACAATTCTTCTTTAGTTTTGGTATGTTTTAGGAATAAAATTGTATTTCTCATTTTTATATATGTGAAAGTTTTGCCCACATGTATATGTGTGTACCACGTATGTGCCTGGTACCCTCAGAGGCCGGAAGAGGGTATCGGATGTCCTGGAAATGGGATTAGAGACCACTGGAAGCTAATATATTGGTGTTCTTAAGCTGTAAATTATCCCTCCAGACCCATGCATTTGCTCACTTTTGATGCGATAGCAAGGCTAGAAATATGTGAATAAAAATTACTGGTGTCATTTCTTGAGAACTTTGGACCAAAGCTAATCACACTGGATATTAAGAATTTTTGAAGCCAGACATAGTGGTGCACACTTGCAATCCCAACAGTCGGGAGGTAGAGGCAGCAAGAATTCCAGGATTTCCAGGGCTACCCTGAGCTAATGACAACCTGTCTCATAAAGGTAAATTTAAAATAAATGTGAAGCTTCTAAACTCCTTTAAACTATTCACAAAATTAAGTGTCAGCTATTTCGGGGAACTGTAACTTAGTGAAAAGTAAAATCGCAGCATATAGAATACCTATGGACCTCCAGGATAGGTAAGTGGGAAGTCCCTTGACTATACATAGTGCTGGCAATGCACACATGTTCCTTCGACTCATGTCTTTACCACCCTCCCTGCCCAGCCTCTTTCTTTAGTGTTCTATGGAATTCAAGAAGAGACATTAACACAATCCCTTAATTCCAAGTTCTCTGTATTTCCTGTGAAGATTCTCTGAAGTCCCTCCTCCTGGCATTCCCCTGAGGAGCTTGTTCTCTCTGCAGGCCACCGAGGTTGTTTTCTCCCCAGTGTCACCTGAGGTAGCTGTGCTCATGTCCAGGATAGTTACCCTGTTAGTGAGCGACACCAAGCAGGCTGGCCCCCGTAGAATGCAGGGCAAACCGCGTGTAGCTTCTAAAGTTAGGTCATAGAAAGCACTGGAGCTTTCACCTAGGTCTCTCGGATCACACATTCTGAGGGAAGCCACAGCATGAGGACGCAAGCTGTCCTGCGGAGAAGCCCTAACGGGGAGGAACCCAGGGCCCAGACCAATGGCCAGTACCAGGCTGCGGGCTCTGTAAGTAAGGCTCTTTGGAAGTGAGTGCTCCAGACTCAGCCGGGTAACCCGAGGACTGGAGTGCCACCTGGTCACGCAGGGCAGTCTTGTGAGAGACCGTGAACCAGAACATTCTACCTGTGCTGTTTCCATATTTCTGACCAATGGAAACCACGAGAGATAGTGAATGTCTATTCTGACTTTCAGATTCTAATCTGAATGCAGGACTGTGCACCTGAGTGCAGTGTTTGCTGGAAGCCAGAAAATGCCACAGAGCTTTAGTTACAGGAGGCTGGGAGTTGCCTGACAGGGTTCTGGGAAATGAAGGCTGACCCTCTCAAGGACTGAACTAGCGCTCGAACCCCCTCGTATTTTTAATATAGTATGGCAACGCAGGCTGTGCCTCTCCACAGGGTTCAATGTATATAGTTCTGGTTCTTCTAGTACTTGTTGGTGCTTGCTTGGTGAGTTTTATAGGTATACAAGAGAAACATAAAATTTTCCTAGACGCTTTTTAGGTTTTTGTTTTTTTTCTTTTTTCTTGGGAGACAGGGTCTCATGTGACTTTGAACTACAACATGGCCCAAGCTGCTGGCCAATTCATGGTTTATGTGTTATGCTGTCCAGCCTGTTTTATTAGTTTATAAGCGTACACTTCGGTGACGTCGAGTACATCCGTAGAGGAAAATAACCATTCTATCTGCAAGACAATAGCTTCCCAAATTGAAGTTCCAGTCCCATTGAAGAATAACACTCCTCTGCCTTTCACAGCAGACACAGGACTCTGTCATGAGTTAAGGCTCATCCCTGATCCCTACTGAAGTGTGGCTAACATCCTGGCTAACAGCTTTTAAAGAGTTGGCCAAAGGCAATAGTCACTAATTGCCACCAGAGGACGCAAAGCTCCCGGGCTGAACTTGGAGGTGGGATTCCGAGGGCCGGAGCCGGGAGCGCGCAGCGGGCACGCGCCTGGTCGGCCCTCTCCCGGCCCGGGCTCGCAGGGACGCGCGTGCGCGGTTTCGCGGGAGCGTGCGGCGATGGAGGGCGCTCCGACGGCCCGCCAGGTAAGCGGCCTCGAGGGACAGGTTCCCGAGAGGTGGCTTCGCTGGCAGTTTCCCCGGCATAGTTGTTTGAACCTGCTCCGATTATGATAATGAATTCCTCCCTTCCCTTTCCCCTGTACTCTTTGGCGTAATTCGAAAAGTTGTTACCAAGGAAACGGTTTTCTGTGTCTCCTGCGAGCCTGTTGCCGGCTGGGCGACGGAGGGAACCGAGTGTTACGTGCTTAAATTTGGTCCCCGAAATGCTCCAGTCCAGATGTCGCAGTCCCAGACCCCAGTGAGTCTGGTTCCATTGTGATTTTGACTTGGGGATCTCTGTCGCCGGTCTCCCTTCACCATCAGCCCTCGGTTAAAAGGACCCACAAACTTTAAATCCCCAGACTCTCAACCGAACTTCTGGTGTCAACTAGTACTGTGGTTTACCACCTTATCAGACACATGGAAGACGTTGGTAGTTGGTCTTTTACATGAAAGCCTTTTGTTGCAGGATACTTGTTCAACACTGTCCTCACAGCATTACGGTGGTTGTGTGTAAATATATTCTTTTTAGAGAAGTATTTTAGCATAGCGAGGGGTACAATTCAAACAACTGTTGCATGAACAAATGAATGGGTGCATTATTTCAGTAGATTCACAAACATTACTATGAAATAGAATGCAGGTAAACTCTATCCGTCGAGTGTCGGGATAAGATGGTGAACCTATTGACCGAGTGGGGGCACGCCGGAGGGGGTGGGGGATGTAATCCCTTCTGTGGAGTTAGAGACAGGTTAAAGAGAACTGATGCTGCTCCAGCCTTAAGGATGGAAGTGATGTGTGGGGGAGGGGCAGGTGGGTAGGGCAGGGAAGGCTTACAAGGTAGAGAGAGGCTCCACTACCGGGCCTGCAGAACGAGATCTCGGTGACAGTTTCTGCAGCTGAACAGTGCTCTGTATGATTGTCGCTCCCACGCCACAGGAAAAGGACACAAGCTTTCTTTATGGAGTTGTCCAGAAGAGGAAAAGGGAGAGGTGAGGTTTAAAACTAGCTTCCAGGAAAACAAAAAATTAAATCACTTTAAGTCACCCATGGCTTCGAGGGTAACTGAAATGTACCATTTTTTTTTCATTGAACTTTTTTTTTTTTTGGTTTTTTGAGACAGGGTTTCTCTGTATTGTTTTGGAGGCTGTTCTGGAACTCACTCTGTAGACCAGGCTGGCCTCGAACTCACAGAGATCCGCCTGCCTCTGCCTCCCGAGTGCTGGGATTAAAGGCATACGCCACCAACACCCGGCTTCATGCCCTGCTTCATTGAACTTTTGTTGCGGGTGTTTGCAACTACACACATGTATGCAGATGCATGTATGTACTGTGCAAAGTGCTCGGTCACTATGACAGTGACAAGTGAACCACACATGCGGTTCCTCAGGTGATACCATACCCTTGACATTTTGAGCTAGGGCCTCTGACTGGCCTGGAGCTTATAGATTAGGCTAGCCTGGCTGGTTAGGAGACCAAGGAGCCCAGAGTTCTGCTTGTCTTCACCATGCATGCTACATGCTGGGTCTGTGAGTGTGTGTGTGTGTGTGTGTGTGTGTGTGTTTTGGGGGGGTCCTGGGGGCATGAATTCAAGTAGTCATGCTTGATGACTAGTATGCTATCTCTCCAGTACTATTTAATTGGGTTTTATCGTAAGAAAGCCACTGAGCTCTCTCTGGAGGCAGTGAGAAAAGTAAAAGTTCCATGGAAAACCTTGCTCAAGAGCTCAGAGTCCTGTTTTGATAAAAAAAAAAAAAAGCCTTGGGCATGGTGGGTACTCTGAAGAGGGTCCGGAGTGAGTGCTGAGGATGTGTCTTTATATATTTAGTACATAGGTTCACACGTGTGACCTTGCTTCATACTTTAGGGATTAGTGGGACTGCTCACTCCTGACTTGAGAATCTGTAAAAACGGTACACATGCAACCAGATGTTAGCCAGAGCTTCTCCATGTTAGTGTTAAGAGGTCTTCCTGAAGCTTCAGTCCTTTGGGCAAACCCTTAGGGCCTGCCCTTTACCAGGGGCGTGTCTGGTTAAGGGAGAAACAATAGTCCTCCACAGAGCACCAACACTTGTAGCAGTGTTGCTCAATGCTGTTCAGAAAGTGTCCAAATGCCTGCTGTTGCTCACTCCATTGAAACCAAGTTGGTTCCCTGGAAGACAAAGTCCAAAAGAGGAATGACCTTTTCCAGTACTGAGACCTCTGTGTGAGCAATGAGGACAGGGGAGGCCATGCTCTCTTTCAGTAATTATGCCACAGGCCTAGATTTGGCTCAGTTGAGATCTTGCCTTTAGAGTCTGCGTTTGATGGTGTTATAGCTGATGTGATTGTCAGCTTGACAGATCTAAAATACTAAGGCTCTGGGTGTGTGTGAAAGGCTAGACTAGGCACACCCACCTAATGTGTGGGCGGTAACATTTCATGGACCCAGATGACCAAGAAGAGTTTAAGTAAGTCACTATTTATTTATTGTGTGTGTGTGTGCACGTGCGCACACGCGTGCACGTGCATGTGTTTGTACGTGCACATGCTCTTGCCATGTTGCATATGTAGAGGTGAGACAACAACTTGTAAAGTTGGTTCTCCTCTTCCACTGTGTGGGTTCTGGGTATTGAACTGAATGAAGTCTTTAGACTTAGCAATGAAATGTCATTCACCAACCCAGGGCAATGATTTTAATGATCAAAGTTAAAGTGAAGCACGTCCAGTAACCTTTGTTGTTTGTTTTGTGTTGAGTAACTCCCCAAACATTATGAGTGATACCTAGTTGGTATTGATTACAGTCACGAGGATTTGCTAGTGGATGTATTTCAGTAAACGTTGAAGTTAATTCAGGAGTTCAACTTTTATGTTATAGAGATCCAAAAGTCAACCTTTTTGTGAAGTTATTTTAAGGACAGGGTCAAAGAGACAGCTCAGTGGCTAAGAGTACTTCCTGCTTTTACAGAGGACCAGGGGATCAATTCTCAGCACCCACATGGGGGCTCATAACCACTGTCACCCAGTCCTAGGACATCTGAGGGCACCAGGCATGCATAGCACATAGTTCACAGATATACATGCAGACAAAACACCATACACAATAAACAAACAAACAAATAAAAAGATAAATACTTTTTTAAAAAGGAAAAAATGGGCTGGGTGGTGGTGGTACATGCCTTTAATCCCAGCACTCAGGAGGCAGAGGCAGGAGGATCTCTGTGAGCTCAAGACCAGCCTGGTCTACAAGATCGAATTCCAGGACAGCCTCCAAAGCCACAGAGAAACCCTGTCTTGGAAAACCAAAAAAAAAAAAAAAAAAAAAAGAAAAAAAAAGAAAAAAGAAAGAAAGAAAGAAAAATGGAAAAGTAATTCTGAGGGTTTGGAAGAAGGAGTCATATAAAAAGTTATTTTAATAAATATTGTATTTCTAACTGGGTCAAGTTATGGACTTTCTTTTGTTTCTTCTCTCTGTATCCAGGGTTTCCCATCCCTTCTTTTTGTGGTGGATGTATTTCATGTAGAAGATGTCTCCCAAATAAGATTGTTTCTAATTTAAATAAAAAATCTAGGAAAAAAAGATGTCTCCCTTACCTATTATGGTTTATGAATCTCTTCTCCAGAGAGCCCCAAATCAGTATCACCAGGGTGAGGGCCTTCCATGGTGATGTCACAGGGTTTAAAAACCCTGAGCTTAGATTGAGTTGACTTACTCTTTTGATCTGCTGCCTGGTGCCCTGTGTGCTTTTCCCTGTAACCCCAAGAACAGTTATAGTTGTAATAGTTGTTATAGCAGAGGCAAAGGTAACAGCATGCCGTGGTGATGTTCATGGGGCCTGATGTGTCATCATCTCTTAGAATGCCTGCTCCCAATCATCCTCCCACTACAACTCTTTCCTGAGCAACCACTCAGAGGTCCCATTTCCTTCACACGCATAAATCACTTCTCTGAGTCCTCCAGACTGAAGCCTAGGGCCTGCTCAAGACATAGTATTCATCAGTTTAAGATAGTTTTTTGTTTGTTTGTTTGTCTTTTCCTTTCTCTCTTCCTTCCTTTCTTTTCCCTTTTCATTTTGTTTTTGTTTTTTTGAAACAGGGTTTCTCTGTGTAGAGCTGGTTGTCCTGGAACTCGCTTTGTAGACCAGGCTGGTCTTGAACTCACAGAGATCAGCCTGCCTCTGCTTCTTGAGTGCTGTGATTAAAGGTGTGCGACACCACCGCCCGGCTAACACCAATGTTTTTATAAATCTAGCTTATTCACTAATTTCTTTATCAATGGGAGATGAGGTTTCTACTCTAATCATTATAGGCATCCTTGGTTTCCTGTGTGTGTGTGTGTGTTAAGTTGCTGGGTTGTAGTATATTCCTAAAATTAGACTGTACTGGGTGTTGCAGATATTTCTCCAAAGTGGCCATACTGCCATTATATTGTATTTTAAAACTGTGTCATTATTTGTTCCCCAGACCATGAACCTCTGGTGGTTAAGAGCTGATTCTTATTTTCGTGTTTCTAGTACCAACTAACCTACCTAGAAAATGATAGTGGTTGGAAGATATTTGCTACGTGTATGAATGATGAATGGTAGAAGCAAACCATCTATTTCTGTCTTGTGTATGCATACATGTGTTTGTGGTGTGTGCATACATGCAAGAGTCAATGTGGAGTATCTGCCTCAATCACTCCCCAACTTATTTTTTGATACAGGTATCTCACTGAATTCAGAGACAGCAATTCAACAAGATGTACTGGCCACTGAGCCTCAGAGGTCCACTTGTTGCACCTGTCCCCGAACCAGGAACATGGCCAACTTATATGCGGGTGCTGGCACTTAAGCTCATTCTTGTTCAGGAAGCATGTTGTCAACTGAGCCATCTCCAGCCTTAATTTTCATCTTTTAAGTTTCTTTAGAAATTTACTTAAGGGGCATGGCAGTGGTGGCGCACGCCTTTAACCCCAGCACTTGGGAGGCAGAGGCAGGGGGATCTCTGTGAGTTCAAGGCCAGCCTGGTATACAGCAAGTTCCAGGACAGGTTCCAAAGCTACACAGAGAAACCCTGTTTCAAAAAAAACGAAACAAAACAACAATAAAAAAAGAAATTAACTTGTGGGGTTGGTGGGATTGTTTAGAGGATAAAGAAAGATGCCTACCCCCCAAGTCTGACCATGTGAATTTGATCCCTGGGATACACATGATGGATGCAGAGAAATGACTCCTGAAAGTTGACTTCTGACAACTTCCAGGCACACACACTGACATAATTTTAAACAGAAAACTTAAATGAATTTTAGCTGGGCAGTGGTGGCGCATGCCTTTAATCCCAGCACTCCAGAGGCTGGGGCAGGCAGATCTCTGTGAGTCTGAGGCGATCCTGGTGTACAAATCAAATTCCAAGACAGTCAGAGCAGTTATATAGAGAAGTCTGGTCTCGAAACCACAACAAATGAATTTTGAAAGTAGTTTATATATTTGGAACATGTTTTTCTTTCCAAATGTCATTTGTCAATAAATAACTTAAATTGTTGGCGTTTATTTGCAGGCAGTAAACGAAGGGGACTCAAGCGTTGCCACGGAGCTACAGGAAGAGGCTGAGGAAAATCCTAGCCCTGTTGTGGATGAGAATAATGTAGTATCGACCAAAAAACAGGGACCGAGCACACATAATTGGAGCGGTGACTGGAGCTTCTGGGTAGTATCTTTTAATATTGAATAAAAATTCTCTTTTATTGTCCACCAGTTTATATAATCCTTTGTGATTAAGCTTCTAGATTTTAGATGTTGTGACTTTAGAGACCCAGTGATAGTTCTCATTATTTTTCATATGGCCACTAGAAGGCGCTGTTGCCTGGTTGATGACATGTAATGGTCAGGTTCAGTTTCCTGCGAAACACTGCCACACAATTGGATTGTACTTAGTGTTATCAGTCGTACTAGCAAGAAGCTGACATTGCATTAACTATGTTTCTAAGTCTTACTGAGAAACAAGTTATTTTATGCAATTTTCATTTAAGGAATCAGTTCCCGTGGCAAGTGAGGCTTAACAATGAATGCTCTGCAGTGTGTAATGGTTGGAAGATGGGTTTTTAAGTTAGGAGCTTCAGATCCATTTTAAGTGTAACTGTTATCCTTCCAGTTTCTCCACATAAAAAGAGACTGTGACTTCCCAGTAGACACACTGTGATTGTAAAGTCTTCTAGGAGAACATGTCTGTCACTGTGTGAATACTAACATTTGTTATTTTAATGGGCTCGTTCTAAAGCCGTAATTCCTATGAGGATTTTGGTATTTGGTAGGAATATAATGCCTTACAACCTGAAGGGGGTTTGAGGAGCACTACACGGCGCCCGTAGTTCTGGTACTGGTTTATCAGAAACCTGATTTCTTGGGTATACTGTGTCCTTGAGAATAGATTTGAAAAGGATGTGGAGCTAACAGGTTATAAAGGTCGGCGCATGGGCGTTGTTGACTCTTCACACAGCCAACATCATAAATTAGTTTTAATTTTTGTTGAGCCATAACCTAAGGAAAATATGTAATTGCCAAGGGATATACAAAAATAATAGCAACTTAAACATCATGCCGTTTATATCAACTATATCATTCTTGACCACTTAGAAATCTATATATCTTTTAGAAACTTTTTGGGGGGTAAGAGAGGGCATCTTCTATAGTCCAGGCTGGCCTTCTATTTGCTATGCAGTGAGGGCTAACCTTGGACTCCTGGTTGGTTGTTTTTGTTTTTCTTCTTTTCCCTTTTTCTGAAATGATTTTTTTCTCATTTAATGTATTCTGATTATGGTTTCCCTTTTCTCTACTCTCCCGAGTACTGGGATTAAAGGAGTGAGCCATCACCACCCAACTGAAAAAAGAACAGGCTTCTAAGGGATAATAATAAAATAGAACAAAAAATATAATAGGATAAAACAAAAACTGTCACATCAAATTTGGACAAGGCAAACCAAGAAAAGAGCCCAAGAGAAGACACAAGAATCACAGACCCACTTGTTCACACTCTCAGGAGTCCCATAAAAAAAACTAAATGGGAAGTCATAATATAAGCACAGAGGACATGGTACAGACCTGTGCTTCAGTCTCTGAGTTCAAATGAGCTTTGCTCATGATTTAGAGGGCCTTGTTTCCTTGGTGTCCTCCATCCCCTCTGGCTCTTACATTCTTTCTGCCTCCTATTCTGCAGAGTTCAAAGCTCTCCCCTGAGCTCGAGGGAAAGGATCTGGTGGAGACATCCCATTTAGGGCTCATTTTTATAGCTTATATTATGAACTGAGGAGCCTTCATAGCTGTCTCCATAGTTAAGCAGCCAAGGTGACTCTTGGATGATGTAAAGCAAGAAAAAGAGAAACAAAAGAAAATCAAAAGAGCAACAGAATAAGAATTTAGAAATAGGGGTTGGAAAGAGGGTTCAGCAGTTAACAGCACTGGCTACTCCTCCAGAGGACCCAGGCTCAATTCCCAACAAACACATGGCGGTTCACCGCTGTCTGTAACTAACTCCAGTTTCAAGGGATTTGACACCCTCACTCAGGCATATATGCAGGCAAAACACAAATACACATGAAATAAGAATAAATAAACTAAATAAAAGAATTTAGAAATAAAGGGGGAATGTGTGTGCAGTAAATGTTTGCTATTGAAAGTATATGGAGGGCCCACAGAACTGGCGCCCTCCACTGTATGAATAACATGCAGCATCTTGGGTCCAATTACAGGATTGAGAACTTTATTTTCACAAAATGTCCAGATGATTTACCTATTTTAAAGTTTGAAAAGTGCAGGCTTAAAGTATCAAAGGTCTTCTTCATTGGCTGTTTAAGTCCCTAAGCTAATTACACACGGTACTAGGAATTTCTGTGTAAATTCATGTAGAATGAACTTAAAGATCAAAATAACATCTTGAGAATTTTAGATACTTTTTCCTGGATTCCTTACTCAGACACCAGAACTTTCCAGAACAGAGAAGCAAATGATAAAGACCCTGTACAGATTAACCAGAGTTTGGGTTGTCATAGATAGGAATATAATTCTTTGCATCTTCACCTGGAGTTTCTTCAATGTGCTCTTGCCTTATTTTAATACGCTTAAACAAATTGACTAGATCATTGAAGATATTATAATTACTTGATACTAATATATGGGAAGCAGCAAGGAATGCCAGCAAACACACAAGTAGCAGTCACCTGGCTACCTAATTCAAAAGCTCAAGGTCTGTAGCTAAATGACTCTTTAATACACACATTAAGAGAGCAGCATTGCTGTCTGACTTCATCATTGTGCGACCAGCATGACGTGAACCAGCACAGACCCACATGATGTAGCATCTTTTTTTTTTAAATCCCGATCAATTATGGTGCACCGTCCATAGATATGCATGTTATATCTTAATTCAGTGGGCGGTTCAGCAGGTTTGTTTGCAGCAGCATTGCCACAAATGTGTTGCTCTGTGACATTAGGACTGCTGTAATATTACTAGGATAGGAATATTTAGCTCCCTATAATCTCATGGAACCACTGTGGTGTATAGTGCCTTTAATAGTACACTGTTACACAGCACACACCTGTACTATAACCAAGAGAAATGACTTTTAGGAGGCCAGAAAAAAAGTTTATTTACAGTCATCTTAAATCCATCTATTTCTACCACGGACTCTGCCATATTGCTGTTTTTTCTTTTCTTCATTCTTCTGCTGATAAAGTCAGAATCAGTACAACACATTAAGGAGGCCGAGTCCCCAGAATTCAAACTCAACATGAGGAAGTCCTGGTAGAGTATCAAGAATGTCCCCCCTGAGGCATGTGACCAGATTTAACCAAAATCAAGAATGTCAGCCATTTCAGACTCAAAGGATCCGGAGCTGTGTCTTTCCTCTTTACGAAAGTTACATTTGTCTGTCTCTTTAAAAATACAACTCTAAAAAGTTTATTTTATTTATTTATTTTTTCATCGATGGGAGTAAAACTCCGGCCCTAGGGCATGTTAGGTTAGTGGTTTAACATTGGGCTCCACACCTCAATCCAACAGGTCTGCTTGATAAAGGAATGGATTGTAAATTGGGGCCTGAGAAGTATGGGATAGAAAAAACAAATGCATTCTGGTTTGCTGATGAATTTCTAACCACAGTAAACTAGTACAAGAGTTTGCTCTGGAAGACACACAAAGAAGGAGATGAAGGTCTTCCCCACCCCCAAGCAAGATTACGGTCTCTTGTAATTTGGAATTGAGGCTGTATTCCTTCCTTCCGAGCTGGCTCAGGCAAAAGTGGATGAAGGGTCTGGTTTCATGTGACACATAGCTTCCCAGAATGCAGTGTCAGGTGGGGCTGTACTTCTTGTCACATGTGTGCCTGCACGCCAGAAGAGGGCATCAGATCCTGGTATAGATGGCTGGGAGCCACCATGTGGTTGACTGGGAACTGAACTCAGGTCCTCTGGAAGAACAGTCAACGCTCTTAACCACCGAGCCATCTCTCCAGCCCCTTACTTCCTCCTTTGTTTCAAATGCTAAGTAAGTTCTGTCCCAATGCACCACACCCCCGGCCTGCTATACTCTCTCAGGGTCTATGAATGTGTCTCCAGCCCTGTCTCCCATCAGCTGCAGTTCTGATTCCATCCTGCAGTTCCACAGGGAGTGTACACTAGAGCTGGTCTCCAGGGGGATAGGCTAGTTGGCACCCTTCATGCCCATGGGAGGAGCTGCTGTCTTTACCAAAGCTGTGGCACAGCTCTAAGAAAGTGTCTGGAAAACAGGTCACAAACTTAAGTTTGATATTTCAAGAGCTAAGGAAAATCAGTAATGTAGAATAATTCATATAGGCAGTTGCTCTATGGCAGTGAACTTAGAGGGCAGTGTGATGTAAGCGAATGAATTAGATTGAAAATGGAACATGGGAAATAGTGTCTACTCTGCCCTAGTGGCTTTACTAGGTACAGTGACCTAGGATGTTCCACTACCCACCTGACCTCTGTTGCATCACTTGTAAAATAGAGATTGAGTCACAATCCGACAACATTGGTGTGTCTTAGGTCAGTCAGAATGACATTCAGTTAAACAGAGGGCTTAATATTTGTCTTTCTTCTTATAAGACAGGGTACCAGTATGGTGAAGTCTCCATAGTCGATAGCGAGAACTAAAGCTCTAGATTTTCTTCTTAACTCTAGTCATCAAAGCTGGGATCTAATATGTATTTATTTATTTGTTTTTAGAAATCACAGTGTTTAATCCTAAAACATAAGAAATGACTTTTATACCCCATGAAATAAAAAATGATAACACATGAGATAGAAAATAAAGTCAATGGCAAATAAGGAGCAATGATTTTTGTCTTTTACCTATTAGTAAAGAGTATATGGCAAAAGGAATAAAGGTTTTATTTTTCCTTACCAACTAAAATAATGATATATCCTATGCGGATTAAAAACCCCAGAGGACAATGGGACAGAGCTGCTCGGTTCTGTTTGTTTAGTAAGTTCTCCTAGTGATGTGCAGTTAGCAACTAGTGGGAATAGGAAGGGGCCTCTGGGGTTTTGTGTTGTACATGTTTAGAAAATGACATAACTTTACTGGGTTGTTAGATACAATAGTTTTTCAGATATGGTGTGGATTATTAGCCACTCTTTTTTAATTATTTAAATTAGAAACAAGCTTGTTTTACCTCTCAATCCCAGTTCCCTCTC